GCATGCTTTTCCGGGCAGAAAACGGAATCCAGATCACGGAGAACGTCTCAAGCCCGATTTCGGCCGAAAACGAGCGAATTTGGAGGCTCAGGCACCACGTTTGACGTCTGACACGGAAAAACGAACTTTTCGGAGTTGGCTGTTTTGAGCGCTTTTTGCACCAAAAACGGAGCGGTGACGAAGCGGTGACATCGCTGGTGACGAGTTCAGCTGGTTGAAAATTATGCAGTTTTGGCGGGTTTTTTTGCCAAAAAACCAAATAATTAAGTCCCTATAAGCTGCCTTTCCTTACTACTACAACTATGCCACCGAAAGCGAGGCAGAAGGCGAGGCAGAAGGAAGCAGCACGTCCGAGGACGTCATACCCATGGCCAAGGCTGCGGCAAAGGCAAAGGCCGCGCCCAAGACCAAAGGCTGCGCCGAAGCCCCTCAGTGGCTGGTGCGCCCTGCAGGCCGCAATAAGCAGGGCGACTACAGCCGCCTCTGCCTCCGAGTCCTCTGCAAGTCGGGCGAGAAGTGCCTGCAGATGAGCTGGGGTCCGCTGAGGTTCGTGGACAGCATGAGCGTCTTCAGCATGATCGACGATCTCAGGGCCTGCGCCCACAAGCAGCTGCCAGAGCTCTTCCCGCTGATGGCCGCAGCGGCAGCGGCGCACGCCGACTCTCCGCCTCAAAGACGAGGACCCGCTACGATCTGGAGCAGGCGCAGGACTGCATCCTGCGCAAGTTGCCCATGCCCTTCAAGCAGGAGAAGCCCTCGTTGTTAACAGCAGCACGCGTTGATCGAGGAAGACTTCTGGCGCAGTTGGGGCTCGACCCAATCCACTACGTCACGCTGCCCGGAGCGCCATGCCTCTGCGCGCGAGACCCCCATTCACCTCATCACCGACGAGCAGGCCTACAAAGACGTGCGGGCGTCTGTCATGGGAGGGCTTCCAGCATTCGCTCAAGCCAACAACCCGGAGCTGGGCGAAGTCAGCTGGATCTTGTGCTTGTACCCAGCCGCAATGACGCTGCTCATGCCCAACGGTCCCTGCGAGACGGTCGCCCTGCCAGAAGAAAACGTCGCAAGGCTGAGCTGGCTGCACGAGACGCGCCTCTCCGGGCTGGACTGGAAGTCTGACGCCGAGGAGGTGACTATGACTTTCGCCCGGAGGTGCACGACCACTTGGACCCCGCACGCATGAAGGTTGGGAAGGCCTGTGTGGCCCGCGCACGGCGGACATGGCGGAGCGCCTTGGCATCTCCCCGTCCCCCCGCGAGAAGCTCGTGCCCTTCGCAACTCAAGTTCTTGCGGGACGGGGGGCCAGGGTCTGGAGGCTGCGCAGAGCCTACCGCTTCGCTGCAGCCCCTTCGTGGCAGGCTTCATGGAGCTCAAGCACCCAGAACGCCATCTTCAGCCGCTGCTGCATGAACTCCGACAAGTTCAGGAACACGAACGCCTACGTGGACCCGGCCAAGTTCGTCGAGTTCCAGATCAACGACTTGGAGGGGTTCCTGGCCTTCGTGGAGACGCTCAAGACGAACCGCCAGCGCCTGCGTGAGCGTGCCCATCCAAGTCGGCGCCCGCACGCTGCAGCTCTCCAAGCTCATAATGGAGAAGGCCTACTGCCTCCACATGAGAAGGCTCTTCCCGAAGATGCGGCTGCTCTTCACGGACACCGACTCCGTGATGGTGCAGATCTTCGAGCTGCAGGACCCGCTCCACACCATGGCCAGGCGTGGCTGAGTGGTGTTTTTTTATGTTCGACGTGGCCGGCAAGTCCAAGGACCCCGAGAACGACCGCGCTCTTGACAGCGGCGCGCTCCAAGGCCATCGGGGTGCAAGCTCGGCGACGAGACCTTTCCAGCCAGGATCCTCGAGTACGTCGGCCTGCGCTCCAAGATGTACAGCATCCTCACGGTCCAGCCCGACGGCGCACGCAAGGAGAAGCGCAAGATCAAGAGCGTGTCCAAGAAGGCGGTGACCAACGTCCGGCATCTTGAGCACAGGGAGGTGCTGGAGGAAGGCAGCAAGCGCAGGGCGGCCTTCGCGCAGCTGCGCAGCCGCGGGCACGAGATCGCCGTGGAGACCGTCGATTCAACGCAAGGTCTACGGCCTCGACGCTCACAACTCGCGCCCGCTGACACTGGCGCAACCTGGAGCAGCTGCGGCTGCTGGCCGCTTACGCTCCGCCCGGCTCCGACCTCGTGATGGAGTTCCTCGTGGGGCCCCCGCCTCTGGGGCCCGCTCTGACACTGCCGCTGCGGCTGAGCCGATGCTGGGCGTAGACATAGCGAAAAAATAGGAAACAAAAAAAAAGATCCCGAGCTCTCGTTTCTCGCTCGTTCGATTTATTCGATCCGCCGCAGCTGCTCAAGATGACTTCCTCGATGGCCTTCCGTTGCGTGCAGGCATGGCTTCTGGAGAAGCCCGCTGCGTGGGTGGGCGAGGACGCTCCCTGCCTCGCCGCCGCTCTGATGGCCCAGCGGCCTCCCGACAAGCGGCCTTGCGAAGATGCGCTGCTCGAGGCCGAGCGCTCGCACCAGCGCCGCCGCATCGAGATTCTCGAGGAAGACAACAGAGTTCTTCGCTATCGGGCGGAGCTGGCGGAGGAGCGCGTTGATCAGCTTGAGCAGGATTTGGACCGGCTCTGCCGAACGCGCTACAGAAAAAGTCCGCCCAATGCTCGAATGGTCCCAAGAAAACCCGCGCAGCCCCTTTAAGCGATAATGACTTCCGCTGCGTGCAGGCGTGGCTTCTGGAAAAGCCCGCTGCGTGGGTGGGCATAGACGCTCCTAGCCTCGCGGCCGCTCTGATGGCCCGCGGCCTCCCTGCGACGCGCTGCGCAAGCGGCCTTGCGAAGATGCGCTGCTCGAGGCCGAGCGCTCGCACCAGCGCCGTCGCATCGAGCTCCTCGAGGAGCTGCTGGAGAGCGCGGATGCGGAAGTCAAACTCCTCGAGAGTCGAAGACCACGAGACCGTGGCGCAAGTCTCCAGAGAGCTGCTGAGGCTCTCTCTTTAGAGGGGGTTTCCCAAATGGATTCTATTCCACCTGGTAGGCTCCTGACACTCGTCCGTCGAAGGATTCGAAACCTAAAACGCTGCGCGCAGGCGTGTGGCTGCAACATAACGACCCCTAGATACGCTTGAGCAATTTGGCTCCAGGTTGCATTGTTTTTGCAGGTGCAAGAAAAATTACGCGGATGTTTGCGCTCGTTTACTTGGATTTCTGCGCTTCTTTCAGCGAGCGGCCATCTTGAAGAATCGATCAGCTCGGTGGTGACAAAGCTGCTCAAAGCATGAACAAGTCCTTGTTTGCCATATTTTGAAAACAACTTTGGTTTGCACAACGTTTGGGCTCCGGGCAGTAGGTAATAAAGGACGATCCAGGCTAGAAAGCAGTCTAGCTTTGAAGATATGTTCTAAGTGCGCGCACTTGGCCTACCCGCTGAAAAATATCACATGAACATGAGCGCGAAATGTGGTTGTCAAAAACCGAAAAGCACCTTACACTCAGAACGCCAAGAGCGACTTTGACGCACCTTTGGAGGAAGCACCTTTTACCCCGCTTGGTCGATCTTTACAGGTCTCATACTGCGAACGAGTTGCTCATCGTGACATCCATGTGTCCGACCGGCTGCTCGACCTTGTCTTTGGCCTGGCAGGTAAATTCTACTCACCTATAACGTGACATCGTATGGAGTGTTTAGCGTGCCCTACCGATTTTCTGATTTTAGTGATTCCGAGGCCAATTCATCCGGTTTTGGACACTTGCATGTTGGTAGACATTTCACCGCGTTTTTGTGCTTTTGTCCGAGACGTTAAGGACAGCTTCCGTCTTGTTTATGACTGGTAGCGGCATGGCGTTACCTCTTCTTGGTTGGATGCGCTGGGTAGTGGTAGTTGTTTTTTGTTAGCACTGTAGTTAGCGGACCGTTGTTAACGATATTGCTTGCAAAGTGGACGCAGTAATTGTGTAGTTGCAGCAGAAGTGCCACGACGAGAAGGTGAACCAAGTCACAGCGATCCTCACACGAACCCGCCATGGCGTGAAGGCCTTGTTGCGGGCATCGCTCAGGGCAACCGCAAGATTGGTCTACGACATCGAAACGCAAACAATATTTTGAGTTGCCTGAAGGCCAAGATCCTCTAAACGTGAAGGATAATGAAGCCTAAGGAAAGCTCTGGAACTTCATTCATTCCTATCTTCTTCATTCATCTATTTTCCTTTGTTTACGTTCTTTTCAGGAGTTTCTACATTTGGATTTCTAATTAAAAAGTAAATGAAAATTAATATAAGAAAGAGATGTAAAAGGGAAATATTAATAAGAAATCAACTTAAAAATCCAAATGACATCAACTCGCGAAGGCGAAGGAAAGCATTTTCACGCGTAACAGCTCCATTCATTTCCAGGATTTTACAGTTGGTGATTGAAGATAGACCGTGAGTTAATTCCTTGCAGTCATGTCCCTTCTCTGGCAATGGAAACGAGGAGGACGAGTCCAACGGAAAGGGCAATTAGTGGTTCGTCAGTCTACGTAGCCAGTGTTCAAAACTTGGCATAGTGTTGAACAATTCGAGATGCTTGTTTCATCTTGTTTTTTCTGTTCAAATGCGTGGCTCGGGAAAAAGTGCCGTGCAGTGACCGGCTTTGCATTTTTCAATGCAATGTGCTGGTTGTGATACAATTTCCCACCCAGCAGATGCCTTGCTTTTGAGTTGGGAAAAAAGTAGTGGCGGACTACTGTTGGGCGTCACGTCGACCAAAACGTACGGTTTTGTCCAACAAAGCATACACGGTTGTTGGTGTGACACTTCTTTTTGAGTGCCAATAGCAGATGAACAAACTCGTTTCTATTTGACTCTGACAAAGGTGGTCTTCAGCCCAGCGTAGTTGGTAGGTCTGCGCGCGGGAACCCGTGTCGAAACAACTGACATTGCTGTGTTGAACATAGTTTGCCGGCGACTGGCGCGGCGAGTTTGTATTCGACCCCAATCAAGTTGGCCAACCAGGGTAGACACGATTGAGCGTTGTTCGCATGGTGTTCAAGGCGGGCTCCAAGCTCAAGATCCGTTACTGTACATTCATGCGTTGTAGCTGGGCGAGAACTATTGATACGGCACAACTTCATGCTCAAAGCGGACACGACCGAGTCTTGGCAACTTGATAGTATTGCTTTTGGCCAAAACTGTGCTGGCATGGATTTCAATTCCAGCGGCCGAGGACATGACTGACGTTGAGAAAAACGAATCACTTCCTTTGCAGTCAGCAGGCTGCTGGGCACTGCAAGGGAGCATCGCGTGACAGGTGTTGGCTTACTTTCCTTTGGCATGTTGCAAGACCAAAAGTTGAGCCATGTGGCGTTGACGGTTCAAAATGCACGCAGATCGAACACGACGGATGGAAACACACGGCAAAGAACCCAGATGTTGGGAGTTCTGTTCTCAACATCATGCAATCTTGTTGACAAAGACGCCAAGTAAAACTCAAGATTCAAGCTCGGACACCTCTCATACCCTCAACGCAAGCAACGGGGGCAAAGCACAAAGTCCAAGGTCCTGCGCAGCCCGTCTACTCGGGTAAAGAGCAACTGGAGGCTCTGGAGACTTGGGACTCGGACCGTGCCGTGGCTGACCATTTCACCTGGCAGGGATTTGTAGGGATTAGCTATCTTTAGGCTCGGGCTCTGTCAGCCCCTGTTCTTCGGCATGTATGCATCAATGGGAACCTGCCATAGCACACAGCCACAGCATGACAGAGATACATCACCTCAGGTTTGCTGCCGCAGCCGGTTCCCAAAGGTGGCTTTCCACATTTGGATGTCACCCGCATTGTTTGTGTGATGCTACTTGGCTGTATTAAATTGCAGCAAGACGAGAGCCAGATTGCAGGCTAGCTTGCTCAATTTGCAGGTTACATTTTGTTTGTCAGCCATACGGCCATACAGCTGTGTGGTTGGGCCGTTTGTGGCACAGGTGCAGGCAAGCATAATCTATGTTCACAAGTGGAATCCCACTCATCAATTTCTCTCCTCGCCTTTGGCAGCTCTGGGGATGCTCGTGTCGCGAGGCTGGTGGCCGTGGATCACGGCAGTGCCATGTATTCAGCACCTTGCCGAATTGGGCGAACGCGAGCTGCACTTGAGCCGAGGGATTTGGAGCAGAGGATAAGCCTTCCATTTTTGAGCCAACCACATGTGCTTTCCAGAATGCAGGTGGTAGGTTGGCACACAGTCGCAGAGAACGCACCTTTGTCAGCTATCATGGGGCATGAGCTGTCGTTTGCTTTACTTATTTGCAGTGTGCAGTTCATACTTCTTCCAGGAATGGAATGTCATTTATGTCCAGCAGTGGGTTCTGCAATGGCGCCTTGTCTGCAGTGAGTAGCTCACTTCTCTGGCAAGTTGCATTGCTCACCAGAAAGGAAGGGCATGTTTGTCTGCATTGCTTCCAGACACACGCTCTGGCGGGTTTACCAAAAGGAGTGAGGACATCGTTCCCATAGCCTATCAACACCGTGCAAGATGCTGAGATGCAATGCAACGGGCCATGCTCGATCGATTGGGAAGTGTTACTTGCTTGTTGCACTTCAAGTGCGCAGCAATGACCTGCCAATTCTGGCCGTTTCATGTTGTCCAATGTGTTTCGATGCGTCTCATTCTTGGCCAGGGAATTCATTTTTTCCGTGTGCCATCAGTCTGACAAGGACAACTGGTTGATCGGATCGGACCTGGTTGGGCTTAATTTCACTGAAAGAGGTTGTTGGCTTTGCATCATGATTGCTTTGTATAAGCTTGAGGGCGCCCAAAGCACCCTTCCCAAGATGTTTGACTTCAAACTAAGGATTGTGCTGGTCTCTGGCGTGAGCTACTGCCTGTCGAGCCAGTTGGCCGCATTTGGGCGAGTATCGCAGGGTGAGAGTTGATATGTGAGCAATGTTTTGAGTTAGACAGGCCACATGGCCGCATGTTATTTGATGAATGTCTTAATGCTGGCCCAAGATTGATAGACAGTTGGTTAATCAACAGGGGATGTTCCCTTGCAGAGGGAACACACCTCTATTAATCTGCCCAGCTTTACTAATGGGATCATTAAGCATTCCTTGCGTCAAACAACATGTGGGCATGTCCCTCGGCGAGTTTTGAATTTAAGCAAGGGGCTCAAACTGATTTGCTTGATCTGCCAGGCAGGCATGATTTCTTTTTGAGTGTTTCCTTGCCAGCCACGCAGCCACGCAGGCAAGACTTTGGCGAGCGACTCCGGCTGCAGGTGTGCGGGCCGTGGAAAGGCAGCGCCTCTTTTTCTCGCTGGGCGAGGGGGAATCTGAGAACAACAGGTGACCAACAAGGACATGGAGATGAGCGTTTCTTTTTGTGGTTTACAGGGAGACCAAAGGAAAACCAACAAGACACACCCGCATGAGTTGCCGAGTGTCTGGCGAAGCCAAATATGGAGGTCTAAAGACCCCCTCCAAATGGAACCAGAGACGATGATAGCCTTAAAATCCTGCAAAATTTAGTGTTGCAGGCAAATCGCTGTTGCATGATCTGCCAATAGCCAGCATCGTAGGGATTGCAGGGCACGTTCATCGGCCGGGCTGCATTTCTCAGGATATTGCTGGCGGCTTGGGACGTATGCGATCGTCGGTATCCTTGTCAACTGGACGGCTTTCATAGCTCTTGGCCTTGACGCCTGGCAAGGCGATCTCACTACCGGTGTGACAACACGGACGTGCTGTGCGAGAGAAGAGTTAGCCAAGGACTGGCAACACAACTTCTTCAACGTGATCTTCCAGCAGCTTGTCCTACGGGATGTGCTCCCAGATGCATCCTGTGGGCTCGGGGACTCGAGCAATACAGACGCATGCTTCAATGCCTATAATAAATCGCCTTCAAGGCGCAGCGGAGCATCGCTCTGCCGCATTGCAAGCTTGCCATGGTTTCGGCTTTTGTGGACCTATTTTGTGGGTTTGTGAGACACATGCATGTGGCCAGCACACTTTGAATTTGGAGAGCTGAGGATGTGGTTCGTGATTGGTCTCATGCTCTTCTGCTTCCTGCTGGCCCCCTTGCCACTTGTCACGACCAGGGCCGAGTCGGAAGCAATCGGCTGCGGCTCTCCACAAGCTTGGGACACTTGGGATTCGACCGCGAAAGGAGCTGGCAGTTCTGAGCTTGCCCAAGGCGTGTCGAGCGGCCCTGTTTTTTTGGTAGCCTTTGAAAGTCTCATTGGCTTCGTGACCTTTGTTTGGACATGCGTGATCTGGCTAGGTCCATCCTTCCGGTTTAGGGATTATATAGCCGGAAAGCATCGCGTAGCGCCTCTCTTCGCGCCTTTGTGCCACCAGGAAGTACTGGTTGGCAGAGGATGCGAAGAGCGTACAGGAGCAGCCGGCTTTGCCCCAGGCTTGCTGAACGTTGCTGGGTGGGGGTTCAATGTTCCAATCCCTTTGCGCATTTTCGTAAGGTTTGGACTCTATGGTGCCTTTGCATTCAATCAAGACAAAGTTCTGTCTTTCAATGGGGAACACCCTTACCAAGTCTTGATGTCTTTTTTCGCGGAGAATCACAACCGCACTTTGATATTTGGCGGTTGGCATGGCAACAGCTGCCCGCGTGTCTTGTTTCTTGTGGTTTGCTCCTGTTCCTTGGCTCATTTCTTCGCCCTGCCTGACACGCAAGTTTTTCAGTTTCTCAGTCCCAGCTCTCCGCCAGGTGCCGCCGGCTGAGGAGGACTGGATGCAAGGGGTTCCAAGTTTTGGTGAGTGGCAGAAATCTGACGCGCTTGTGGACACTTATGAGCACCTTGTTGGCCCCCCCCCCTTTGAAGGCACGTCAAAAAGCTAAGAGAGCCCATGTTTGTTGGAAAGCCCGACTGGCAGCAGAAGTATGCCCGAAAGGACAGGAATAGCAGACAGGAAATGCGGAGCCTCCCTTTTCAGAATGACTGTCGGGCAAAGAGGGGGCTCTGGTTTGCTGCATCCCAAATGGGGTCCCCAATTTTGAAGCCCTCTCTCAGGGCATCATGAACACTGTGTTGATGCTCCTCATGGTGCTCTTGGCAATTGGCGCTTTGGCGAAAGGTTGAGCCCTTTGTGGACGTGCCAAGCACGTCCTTCAGATGGGCCCTGGTCCACACGTATAGGAGGCATCGAAGCGATCTTAGATTGGCGTAAAAATCGAGATTTGTCGATTGATGATTATTCAGGTGTGCAAGATGCCAATGAGACGGCACTCTTGCTCCACTCTCCGAGCTGAACAAGAAAGATGTGCTTGAACAGCAAATCCTCGCACCTAGGCATTTTGTGCAACACCTTCTTGCCGATACTAGTTGGCCCTATCCTGGCACCACTGCTGCTATCCCTGAGCCAGAAGCTGGGCGGATCCTTGGACTGAAGTACCGAAGCTTCGTATTTTTAAAGGCGACAGGCAAGAGATGTGGACGGTGCCATGTTGCCGGAGCTCCAGCCCTCAGTTCTGAAATTACGGAAATCATGCCTTCAGTTCTGTTCGCCACGCTGGCCCTGAGCCCAGTAAATCAAGCTTCTGGTTTATTCGTCACCAATGTATCCTTTCGTGCCCCGACAGCCGAGCAGAACATCATTCAATAGAGCTACACTTCAAAATCAGGAGCAAGCGCAAAATCCAAAATCAGCGTGGACAAGACTCGACAAGACAATGAAAAGAAAGGTGCGGCCGAGTCATGAAAGGGGCGGCCTTTCCCTTAAGGTTCCGACAGCGTGTGGGCCCTGCCCGGTTCTTTGGACGAGTCGCAGGCCGGCTACAAGCGAGGAGGGAGTCACGTGTTCGTTTGGAGTGAGGTGTATGTTGCGAGGATTTGAAAGGTCTTGGGAGCATCCCTTCAAGTCATATCAATAATTTGAAGGACCCAATTAAAGAACATGCCGATTGACTCAAAGGGTTTCCGGATTTGTTTGTGTCTGTTTGTGCTGTTCATTTGCTTCGCAGAGGGGCATCACCAGGCTGTGATCTCCGATGTGGGCCTGGGAATCACAGATACATGATTGGGGGTCGGGGGCAACACATTTCCAGCTTGCAAGACGCGATTCTTAATTCAGAAGCACGCCACGATCAGAAGCGCAAACATGTGGTGCTCTTGCCCTGTCTGCGAGCACCAGGAGTTGTTGGATGATTCTGACATGCAGGGGTCGGCCCACCCCCGAGCCCTTTGGAAGGATAATGCTGCTTTGTGCTTGCCTTTGTTGGTGTGCTCCCCATTTGCCACAGCTTGAAACCAATGCCGAGCCAGATGTTCCAACAAACAAAGAACTGTGCTGATCGTTTGGTTGAAGCGAGACATCTTACCAAAATTACATTACTTTTCCTTTTGAGGTGTATTAATCAACCACGTGGAAATGCCAGGTATTTGTGGCACACCTTTGCAGCTATGCCTTCCTCACGCTGTCGAACCTTTTTCTGCTGAGGCCGGATTCCAGCAGTGATATGGCTAAATCCATTAAGGCGAACATTTTGTGGGAATTAATTGCCCTTGAAAAGGTCCCAACTACCTTGTTTGAGAGGATGGTTACAATCCTTGATCACTTGTCACTCGTTTGTCACTTGCAGTGGGTGCACTGCAGGGCCTTCCGCAGTATGCACATCAAGCCCAGCATCATTCCGTGGGTCATGCTTCTGAACTGTTTGGCGACCTCGCTGCATTCCAAAGGGCCAACCAGGACGAGCTAGATACCTCTTGCACGGTATGTACCGATTGTTTATTTAGCCGCCTTTTGTTTGTATATTACAAATATAATATATACAAACATATTCTCCCCCCTCCCCTTGAAATACTCAGGTTTTTGCCCAGCCTGAGGGGGACAAATGCCTTGAGACTCCAAACTGAATTGACAGGACGTGCAACTCCATGCAAATTCCAACCAAGCAGCAGTTCAGCTCAACGGTGAAAAGGAGTTCCTACTTAAACTGCTTGAAAGTCACAGTGGCGTGCGCGAAGTGCACTTAAACTCACACTGGAGTATGCAAGTGCACTTCAGCTCAAAAACACCACTTTCAGCACAAGAATAGTACGCAAAGTATTCTGTGGCAGCTGCAACAGCTCTTTTTTTTGTTTTATCATTTTTATTTCGCAAACAACTTCAATTTGTCAACTTAGAGAAACAACTTATTCCTACTTGCAACTGACATCCAAGTCAAATATACAAGTGCTTCATGTCCTTGCGCAGTGGCATTTACATTGTTATTCAGTTTTATGAAGATAGCTCCCTATACATTCCAATTAAGTCTATGTAAGTCAGATGTGCAAAGCAACTATCGCATTTCATTCAGTCATTGTCAATAACAACCATTCAAATGTAGGAAGGATATCCAATTTGACATGCTTTCGAGTTCAAACCAAATTCAACTTTAACCGGCTGCAGTTTCTTTTACATTTCGACACGCAATTGGAGAACACAGCTTTTGTCATGGCCAGCTGAAACTGGAGCCAAGCTCAATTTCAAGAGGTTATTGTCCTTCTAACTCCATGTGGTTGGTTTGTTGAATCAATCTTCCATCCCGGCCAGCCCTCAAGTTCCCCCCCCAAAAAAGCACAGTTTCAAAAAACATGTACCCCCCCTCCCCGGGGGCAAAATGCAGGTGGTGCACAATTTAATTTTTTGGATTCTTTAAATCCATACTTACGGCAATCCAGGATGTGCTAGCACGTGCTAGCACATCCTGGTTGAAGATTCAAGATTCTCTGACCTCTAGAAATCAGCTTGGATGCACTTTTTGTGGATTTCACCCGGTTTTCCTCCTGTTGATCTTGTATTTTTAATAGTCATCTTTAGTACTCTTTAAGTATCCTACAAGGATGGATCCGCAAAAGCCACATCCGAACCGTTTTCCAGAAGATCACTTGTTCTGGACATCTTCAAATCTAGCACAAGCTAGTATGTGATGTGCTATTTGTAGAAGCTGGAACAGTGCTTTTTGCATGCATGTTTACTGCAGACGCATTAATTTTTGAACAACAACCTGACTATTCCGGGGTGTGTGCGTGCGTACCTTATGTATGTATATATATGTACATATTCACCTACATTTGTGTGCGTACCCTTCAAGCTGGTCCCGCTCCCGCCTGAGGTGAACCGGACTATGATATACCGAGGCCCTGAGGAAAGGCCCGTCTAAGGGTTGGGATGGAGAAGCAGAGGTCCACAAAGGACCTTCGCGTAGCTTTCCTCAACAGGTGGGATTGGATGTCTCGTGTTTTGAGTTGCTTTTGCACGAGGCTGGACAGAGTTCCCTTTCGATACCGAACGAATTGCAGAATCCTTGCGCTTCGGAGTGTGCTCCCGTGGCTTTGCTTACGTCATTCATGCAATCCTCAAGGAGGGCATGGAGCTTCTTATATCCTAAGTTTCGCATCTTAAATCCTTCGTGAATCTTAGGGGTCAAGGGTGGCTTAGTTGGGAGGTCGTCTTACAGAGACCCTCCATTGCTTGATTACATGCTGGGTTTCTTGATGAGCCAGCAAAAGCTGGTGAGCAAGAGACATGCCCATTGTGCGCCACACTCAGCCGTGCCTGACCTTGCAGGCCTTTTCACCTGCTGGACATCATGATTTTAGGCACCTAGGCTTGGACAAACATTCGGAGACCGTTCGGAGAGTTGCAATCTGCTGGGAGAGCGTTAGTTGTAAAGACAAGTGACAGTTCCCCAATTGTAAGCAGCGGTGAAGTGGCTATTTTTTTTTCTTGTTGGGAGGAGGTTTTGTCGAGGTACGCAGAAAATCTGGTGACTTTGTCTTTGACATGGGTTTTCCTAGCCTGGAGGTGTTGATGGCAACAGGGTAGTTGTGCTGGACTCACTGCTGGAGCAGCGACTCGTGGATTGCCGAATTCTGGGAGCTGCAGATTTCGCTTTTCTCTCGCTCTGCACCGCTTCTTCTTGCTTTGCTCATCTTCCGGCCTTTGCAATACGATTGATCAGCAGCTACATGCATTCCGGGCCGGAGAGACAAGGTGCCTCCCTGTGACTGGGGGCTTCGTCTGAAGAATGCCACAAATTGCCGGCAAGCACCCAACCAAACCAAACGAAGCACAGCGCTTGCCAGCAAGCTTACCCATGCTTGAGGTCGTAACATGGATATTCTCAACATGGGCGTGATATTGTCACTATACCTGAATGCTATTGGCATGTGTTGATATTGCTTTGCCTCTATTGTGTTGTGGCCTTGGAGCTCTGATCTACAGGAAGGTTTCAGGCAACTTTTTGGGTGAAGTTCCTTCCAGATCCAACGAGAGATCCTGGAGTGGTGTCTAGCTCAGGTATGGTGACGCAGAGCTATGGGCTCATGTTCCGCAAGACGGTCGGCCCGCTCCTTAGCGAGCGATTTTCCAAAGGCGAAGAGGGTGAAGCAGAATGGTAAGGGGAGCAGAGATGTTAACTGGATGTATGGCCTCAGGAATCAGGCGAAATGGAGTGAATGACAAGGACGGTTGTTTTCTTGCCAGCTGCAAGGTGACTACTTCTGCCGCTACTGGTTTGTCGTGCACCCTGGTCAAATACTGCGACTGATTTCACCGCATTGAAATCTGATGGGGACTGCTCGCCCGCCCACATTCGGTTTGTGAGCAGCTACGGATCTTTCACGAAGGAGTTACTGTTTTCGGAAGTCAGCAAAGGATTTGGCCTCTCTGGATTCGTGAGAGTTGGTTGTTGTTGGTTATTTGATTAATCCTTAGCAACTTCAATCCTTAGCAACTCTGTGCGGGGATCTTGCCGCTGTTGGCTGTTTTGGCACGCTTCTCCTTTTGACGCAATCAGCTACATTCTTGAAACCTATTCTACTCAGGGAATCGTGCTATATTTGCCATGGTCAACACCTCCCTTTACTTTGGCTTGGATGGCTTGGGGGGGATGGTTATCAATAGCCAGGGCCAAGCACTAGCTCTCAGCTTTGCACACGCCCGGGGCATCTATCAACGTCAACCCGAGGGCTCCCCGGGGCCAGGATGGACCGAACTGGAGACGATCTCCGGAAGATGTGTGTGGTCAAGAAATCGTCTGCCTTGTCCGGAATCGATTTGCATTTGCCTGTGATCATGACGTGAGTGAGCGACAAAGGCAGCGCCTTTCCCGGATGCGCCTTGGTTGTTTCTGCTTGTGGCGCGCAGAATCGTGCAAGTTTTTGTCACACTGCGCTCGGGCACCAAGAGCCGGTTGTAACGGATTGCGCCCCTCGGCTAGCTGTGGCCTCCATCGTATCCAGGCGGGCATCTTCTATGCCTTGTGTAGCGCTTGTCATTCCTTTCCGGGAGAAAGGAGTTGTGCTTGACGCGCCCGGCGAAGCTTAGGCCCAACAAAGTCAGGACGCTGCTTCCACCCAGAGACCCTCAGCAAACGAAAGAATAGCTCTGCTGCCCCGGTTGGCTGCTGCTGCGACATTTTCGTCCTTGTGGGTGAGAGGGGAGTGTTGCAAACTGCAGCATTGCTTGTCATTGATTGCGCGTGATTGCAGTTGTTGCCGCAGAACATTAGCAAGACTCCTGGAGAAGCTGCACACCACATTGTAGGTCAGTGTGAGAGCAAGGCCGTTTGCGGTCACTTGTCCAGGACTATGAGAGTGGTTTTCAACCCATGACCTTGGATGAAGGCATGGATCACGGTGCTCCCAAAAGTAGAGCTGGCAGGAAATTTGGCAGCTTTGAAATTTGACATTCCCGCTCGTAGACTTAGTTGCATCGCTTAGTTTGGCAGCACCTTAGGCTGATCGCCTTTGCAATCATCTACCCGCCCTACGTCCACCGGCGCCTAGATATGCACCCGACGCACGACCGAGAACTGAGGCAAGGGGTGCCAAGGGCTGGGGACATCGAGCATCGAGCAAGTGGGCCGGGCAGAAATAGAAAACATGCTCGCCAGCACATCGAGGCCTTACCAGGGGCACCTGGAAAGTTTGGGAGCCGGAAGCCCAGGACAACTTGCACCTTTTCCTTTGTAACGCTTCCCACCCTCTTATTGGTTTCGCTTTAGGGGTTGGTTGTTCAACCACATTTGTTCAACCACATTTTGCCTAACTCTTCACAGATTTGGCATCACGTTGCGTTTGGCCAGATGCGTCGTGGAGAGCATGGAGGCCATTTGCCTACTGGCTTGGCTCAGCGCCAGTGACCGTTGCTCGTATGTAACGTGACCGATTGGCTTTGGCGCTCCCAATTTTGCGATGCGCATGTGGCTTGTTGAAGTAAAATGGGACGCTTCCTGTGATGGTTTGACATGGCAACTTGACGAAGCCGACAATCCGGAGAGTCAACTTGGTGTTGACATATTATCTTGGAGGTTGGCGGAGTCGGCATTTGACTTGCAGCCTTCCGTAGGGAAACTCTGCTATTTGCGACCCTCCTTATAACCTTTGTTTGTTTGTGCAGAATGATGAATCAGAAGTCGTCTTGTGTCCATGCGCGTTGATGGCCTGACCAATATCACTGTTGTTTGCCATGCCCTTTGAGTCATGACCTGTGCTTTGTTCGTTTCTTGTCCGGTCATGCAGTCGAAATTTATTTTCGATGGAAGGCACCAGTGGAAGATGTTTTCATAAGTCGCTCTAAAATATTTAGTGGAAGGCACCAGTAGCCAAGATGTGCCGATGCAGGATTGATCTCATTTGATACCAGTTCCATGCTTTTCACAAACATTGATCTTCTCTCTGGTATAAACCTTCTCAGTCTCATAAGCTGGAATCTAGGAACTACACAATAACAAGTGTATCATACACTGCCCCGTACTTGTAAGAGCCACGGCATTTGATTTGGAAGATGCTACTATTGGTAGAACTCTGTCGATGTATCCAAAGCTATTCCCGCGTGTCTTCCACTTGCAATGTCGGAGGGGGGCTGTCTCAACACATCATGGAAGCGGCTGGTGGGCGAATTTTCCTGCCATCTTCAGTGGCTTCCAAGCTCACAAAGCTGTAATCACCAAACCACTAACCCTGAGGGTCTTTTTTTGGGGACTTTCTGCCAACTCTCTGACATCACCACAGGCACCAACGGTTCAAAAGAGTCATCATGAGGCGGTTGAAACATATGGGCGTGTCTCAAATACGGAACCCTTTTGCATGTTTCAAAGGGACATCAAAGGAAGCCAACCTGAATCACAGGGGTCCCAAATTTTGAGAAGCTCTCGGCGCGAGAAATTAATGGAGCCTGGCTTACAGTGTTTCATGGTGCCAAGCGCACGGAGCCAGTGGATCGAAGCCAGTGGGAGTTTACGGAACGGACGCAGAGCGATGAATTTGGTATGTCATGTATTTCTGTATTTCTGATGTCCAGCAAATGGCCCTCACAAAGCGGGTTTACCCATGATGTTCTTTTTGGTGCATACCTTCGTTCTGGCCGGCTATCGTTATTTCACCTTGGGTTCCGAGGATTACACCCTTGGGAAATGACCCAACATTATCCGAAATAAATGTGGCATGATCAAAGACTGTGACCCACGCAAAAGGCGTGTTTTCTTTTTGGGGGCACCCTTGGCACACACGCAAGAAAGCTAAGGGCCTTGAGGCTAAATAAGATCATCACTGTTGTGCCTTTGGGGTGGGTTTTGCTTGAAGGCTTCTTCTCTCGGGAGATCTTTACTGTGGACCGCCTGGGCTTCATGAATGACTGGGCGCTGCTGGTGTTTTTGGTGCACAAGGCAATGGGCGCTTGGATGGAATGGGTGGGTACCGGTTTGGATGGTCGAAGCCAAAGGAAAACCAAAGGGACAGCAAAGGAATAACAAAGGGAAAACAAAGGGAAGCAAAGGGACATCACACGGAATGTGCAGGGTCAAAGGGAAGCACTTTTGAGGGGCCCGCAAGAATGGTTCTTGCATGCCGGGCTTTCGACATTGCAGGATGTCTTCGGCCTTTTCGGCTTTTTCTTTAAGGAGTGCACTTTCTCTCGACCAATCTTTTACAAAGGGTGTCGTCATTCACCACTCTGCCACAGAGGTGCAGGTCGGTCGGGCAAGCGAGGCGTTCGGCAATGTCAGAAGTTCTTGGGGCAGAAGTCTTAGAGCAAGGGGGGGAGAGGGATGGAGGAGAAGTGGCCATGGGAGCCGCGGTGGATTAGGGGTAAGAGAAACATGTCGGAGAAGATGTCCAAGATGTCTAACATGAACTGCCTCAAGGAAGCTGTGATTGTACGTATTCAAGGCCTACTTTCCTTGGGGGACGGCTGGATATTCGGAGTGCGGCCAATGATTTGCCTGACAAAAAGCAAATCCACCTCGAGTGCAAATACGCATCCATGTGAACAGGGGGGAATGCACCAAATTTTTATTTGGCACAAAAACCAAGGGAGCCCCTCATTTTGTCGTGCCATTACGATGAAGAACGCATATCATGACTGTGGCTCATGTGGAATACCTTCCTGCTCATGTGGATTTCAAGCATCGTGCAATTGGGCAAATTGATTGCAGTTTCCCAACAGAGGTTGAAGTGGGGCGCTGCCCCCAAGGCATTTCCTCCCCACGGCCCTGGCATCCCACTTGGCAAGCAAGCCAATTTGGTGAGTGGCTGGCCTCACGCTCCCTGTTACACCGGTGGAGAGAAGCCTGCAAGAGACAGTCAAGCGGCCAGTTGGCCAGGCACCAAGGAATTCCCTGGGTTGGTTTGGAGGGAGATAGAGGGTTTTGGCGGCTCAGAGCATCTCTGGCAGGCCATGCACCTGATCTTCGGCCTGCCCTGGTCATGGCTGGTGCTATTCGCTTTGATTCCTGCGCCTTGGCGGGGAAGCGCACGCCAGTGGCGCTTAGGCACTTCTGTGCAGGGTTTTGAAAGTTCGTTCTGTTCCCGGGGCCTTGCAGACGAAGAGCCGAAACATGGCTTTCAAATCACAGGGGCCGCGCCCCCTTTTCGTCAAACAGCACAGCAGGGACTGAAGTCATGGGAGCAGCTGGGGTCAAGAGAGCTGGCGCCTTTTGTCTTGCTTCCCCCACGCCGTCGAAAGGGTCTGGCCAAGCTTTTGCATTGGACTGGGGACTCGTTTGGGCGAATCACGCAAACAAACGCATCCCTGAGTTGGGGGGGTTGCCAAAATTGGATACGCCCTTTTGCTTGCTTTGCAACAGGGACACTGACGGCAAGGGCAGGCTCCCAACCGCTCAATCTGAGGTTTGCCATGTCTTCCGGCGCCGGGAGACTGCGAGTTAGGCTGGGAAGAAATTGGACTTGCCTTTGGTCAGGTGTGATGTCTTCACCTTCACATGCTTTCGTGAGGCCAACGGGAAGTCTAAGGGGAGCCGGGTATTTTTTTGGGTGCCGCTGTGCATCAACCGGCAAAACGACAGGCGCAGACTCCGACTTTTGCATTTTTAGATGTGCAGGGACACAGCTTTTCCCGAATCAGCAGGCTAAAGTTTACAGTGGGCCCAGAGAACTGCAGTCTGAGAACTGCTTGGCATTACTTCTTGTCCGCCTGAATGCCGATCCATTTGCATTGCGCACCGCTCTTCTCCACACAAGAGCAACCTCCGAACAGTCTTCACCCCTAGATTCCCGGCAGTCAGAGATATGTACTATCCAGGCAAAATGCCCGGGAGGACCCAAGGGGGTGTCAGTAGTGTCCCAGTGGTTTTCTGTGTTTCGGTGGGCATGCAGATGTTGTCCCTGTGGTTAGCCGGTGTTCTGGCGGTGTTCCAGCGTCCCGGTGTCCGGGGCGTGTTTTTTTTCGTTTTTGCGCCGAATGGTTGGTATCCCGCTACTGTCCTGTTTCCAGTTGCTGGTGTTCTAGTCGCTTTTCCTGGTTCCCCGGCTGTGTCCTGTTGGTTTCCCGGCAGAGTTCCGATTGCTGTTTCTCTTGTCGTCCTTTTATCGCCAGGAGGCTCGGTTGACTCATGTTGTTTGTACTGGCCTTGTTTGTCCCAAACGCGGATTCACAATGATTCGAGCTGCTGGCGCACAAAAGGCTGTGATTCCTAGCTGGGGGAGCAACAAACCTGATTGCCCCCGTCTTGTGAAGGCAGGATCGTGTGAGATGAAACCAACGAGCCATGTGAGCATTGAACATTCAAACCATCAAACCATGTAGGCCACCAAACCATCATCAACACCCTTAGAAAATGGTGACCTCTTTTTGCGCCGGAAAAGCGTGCGCCGATGCGGACGCAAAGCTCTGCACCAAGCTGTGTTGCGCTCTCGGGGCAAGGGGTGCTCTATTCGGCAGGTACCTGGGCTCCCACTGACGGACGCTGGTTTTAATTTCAGGGTCGGCTTCCCCGGCCAAAGGAGCCGTGCTTGCCACGAAGTTTGTTGGCCTACGCAAGGCAAAGAGAACGCCTCTCTGCGCGTTCAGCCAATTTGGTTGTGATAGGTTCTGTCGCAGAAGCTTCAGATGCCACGGTATTTTGGACCAAGCAATAGGTAGTTCTATCTTGGTTGGGCCAAGATGGACACGAGAGGCGCTTGGTGGCAGGGGGGAGGTGGCCGATTAGGGAGAAGGCGAAACTCAAGCCATGAGCAAGCCACTTGTTGCATCCCCATGGTTCAGGTACACATTGAAAGAGCACAGAGGAAGTCGTACCATGTCACAAGAATCCAAGCTTCTTGAGCTGGAGCAGAATGCAGTGATTGCATTGAGTTGAGGCGGCCAAACTGCAGAGCTGGCCTATGAGAATGAGCAACCCCCCCATTTTTTTTGCTCTTGCTTATGGTAAAGAAAACACCGAGGTCATCAGTGACTCATTTGGAGAGGCCGGGCCTCAGGTTCGCTCTGCGCAACGGCGGGCCTCGCCCTGGCAGTGGGTGCTGTGGGCGTGATGGTGCCCCAGGGTGTGGCTCCGCGAGGGGCCCGGTCTGCGGGGTCCGCTGTGCGTTTTTGGCCCCTTCGAAGCGAAACGCTGGATGTTTTGAGGAATGGTTGGGCGTGCCTTTAATGTTAGCACTCCAATCCTGCGAATGGCTGATATCTTGCAAGGGGACAAAGAGAATGGCTGAGACAGACCTCAGGATGAGACTTGGGGAGTCTATTTGGGTTCAGGACTTGATACAGGAGTGCAAAAGATCTAGGAACGGATTTGGATATGTCCGCCAAACAACTGCCTTTTGTAGGCCTTGGCCAGTGTACCTGATGTCACCACGAAAACATCAGCAAACATCAGCAAATCAGAATGCTGGTTTCAATGCAAAGTCATTTTTGCACTCACAGTACTTCCTCCCCAAGAAATTGAGGAATGGTTTTCATGGTAATTTGACCATCGCCTTTGAGAGTGTCGTAGGGCAAACGTACACTGCCACATTTTTTTCCCCAACCGCTGAAAGCTATGGGGTTGATGGGTCCAGATAGGCGATAAGGGGTGGTTGGGCACCTGGGCTAGTGTTGAGGGTGCCCTTTCTTGTGGTTTCAAGGGAAACCAAACGGAAAGCCAGCAGACGTTTTTCTTTTTCTTTGTGTGCTTTGCGACTGGAGTTTCGTTCCGACTCGAGGGCCCAATGGCCGCTGGGCACCGGCACTGCGGCGGAAGCCAACACCTCCTGGCCCGGAAGCCCAGTCGGAGACCTGAAGGGCGGGGTCGTAAGTTGGAGACTGGCTCAAAAGGGGGACGTGTTTTTGTTGGTTCGACTGAGGGAGGACGCTTTGTTGCGCTTGTGTAGGGTATCCTTTGTTTGGGCGGTCTTTTAAAGGGAATTCACAGGGAAAACACCCATGTTTGTGCTTCTTCGATTTGGAGAGTTTGCCCTTGAAGGACGATTCAGGTTATTCGGAAAAGCTGTTTTGCACAATCCCATCCACATCCTGCGAGTCGAGATGTGAAGCGAGGGGTTTGCTCTGCAGATTTGCCGTTAAGGGTGCGGTGCTCCCTATAGGCGACCCTGCAAATTGGCCATTTTCTTTCCCTTCACTGGCTCTCATTTGATTTGCGCAGCTCAAGGCAACTGCGCCATGTACAGGAGCCACCTCTAACTGTGACTCTTTGGCATGGCAAGTCTCGAAAATGAGGAGTCGGTTATGCAAGCCGTCTGCACCAGAGCATGGTTCCCGTTCGCCAACGTTTTTGTTTGTTTGTTTGTTTGTTTTTGTTTGTTTTTGTTTTTGTCTTTGTTTTTGGCAAAGCGTGTTTCCATCGATCCAGCGCTTTCGGTTTGTCTCAGCCCCGCGTGTTCTTCGCGCGGCCGGCTCCATGCTGAGGCCAACGGGCTTCCAACCCCCGAGGCTTGGCGCTTGGAGCCAGGATGCCACTGGAAGGCGGGCTGGCTGTGATGGGACGGTTTGTAGGTCAAAACAAGCGTCCCTCTTTTTGTGCGGGGAAAAGGAGGGTGAGCTTTTTGCGAAGACGAGCACGCACCATTTCAATTTTCGAGCGCGGTTGGGATGGGTCACAGAATTCAACGTCAGGACACTACGCAAGATTCTAAGATGGTTTCCACTACCCCGAAGGAAGTACCCTCCGGGGCTGAATGGGCTATGCAGCTGCGACAAAGCCTCCTGAAAGGCATACACCCCGTTTTTCCTTGTGATAGCTTTGGTTGAGCAGTTTGCCCGGTGCTCATTTTGCTTGCAGGCCACTTCCCTGCTGGCAGCTGGGCGCCCAAGCCTTCCGATTCCAAAGCACCGAATTTGAGGGCAGGGTATAAGATGGGGGTTGCAACAGACCCCAGAAGCTCTCCTGTTGCAGGCCGACTTTTGTGGCGAACGGGTTTCACATTTTGTCTTCTGCAGACCTTTGGAAGGTCGGGGTTCCGTGCAGCCATGTCAGGTATCCAGATTTTCTGATACCCTCATGCAAGGTGCGCACGCGCAGTGCCTCAGGACGACAGTGCTTCACGACCATGCCAAGGGCTGGCCGGGGTTGTGCCCGGATCTCAGGTGTCGGATTGGAAAAGATGGCGAGCTCCCGGCACCCATTTGCACCATTGGTGCTCCTCTTGTGACCTGCTTGTTTTTGTGGCATGAATCGAGGGATCGATGCTCTGGCGAAGTTGGGCTCAAAGGGCTCCCCCCTCTCTTCGCGGAAGCTGGGCTGATTTTCGACAAGGCCAGGCGTGCGAGTCATGGCCGATCGCGAGGGCATCTGTTTTGGAAGGTGCAAACTGACATTGAAAAGGCATCCCAACGACGGCCCCCATGCTGAGAAGGGCTCTGCAGGTCTTGGAGTGTGTGCCACACTTGGTTTAGACATGTTCGGTGCAGGGAATGAGGTAGCGGTGGCGTTTGGTTTTGTGCGTTTGGCATGGCGGCATTGCGGTCATGGCAATAGCTTCTCGCCTCGAGGTCATGGCGCTGCTGGCCATCCTGGCGCTCCCCGTGGCGATGTCGGCGTTGCTGAGCGAGGAGCCGCGCGTGGAGCTGCGCAGGAACTTCCTGGCCTCGGAGGAGTGGGGGGGTGGGGGTATGCGCATATGAGCTGCATGAAGGGGTGGGTTTGCTGCTGTGACGGATGGAGTTGGAACAAGGGAGGGACGGTTTTGTCCGGATTGGTATTTTGCTGGAAGGCTGAAGCTGCAGTTGCGGGGGGGGGGTGGGTGGTTGGGAAGATTGCACCAAATGTGGCGCGCGCGCGTGCGTGGCGTGTAAGAAACGAGATCTCTTTAAATGAAAGAGATCAATTTAGTGAATGAAGCACAAACGCATCCTTTGTTTTGTTTCGATGCAAGAAGTGTACATCTCCATGTTTTCTTTTTTCCGTTGCTTATGATAGTTAACGATTCCTGATTTACGAAATACATCAGTGGCGTAGCATCACGCTTTGTAACAAAATCAATCTAGTAGAAAAGAATAACCGACATGGAATGGAGCGAAATGAAAAGGAAACAGTCATGAAATAGAAACGCCATGGAACAAACAATATTTGGAACACATGAAAGCTAATGGAAGCACAATTGCAAATGTAATAACAAGAAATAGCAATGGAAACAAGGCATGACAAGGAATTGGAAAGAAATGGAAAGGACGTGAAAAAGAAAGGAGTGGACATTGCGAAACGAGCACTTTCTCGGCCCGGCCTGGCCTTGGGCACTTCTAGCTAGGAATGGAAGGCAATGGAAAGCAATGGAAAGCAATGGAAAGGAAGGGATGGACAGGAATGGACAGGAATGGACAAGACAGGGAGAGAAAGTCACAGAAATGGACAGGAGAGGAAATAGGAAGGACATATAAGCAAAGGAATAGAATATAAATTTAATCAAAATAAATATGGAAAGGAATGAAACAAATATGGAACGGAAAGGACATGAAACTGAATCTTAAAGAAATGGAAAGGAACCACGCCGCTTCAAAATTATTGACATGGACAATTGCGAAAGGAGCACTTTTTCGGCCCGGGCTGGTCTTGGGCACTTCTAGCTAGGAATGGACAGGAATGAAAATTAGTGGAAAGAAAGATGGACAGGATTGAGCCGGGTATGGAAGGAACGCAAAGGACATGAAAAGGAATTTCAAAGAAATGAAATTGACACCTGCTGCTTCACCATTATTGACATTGACAATTGCGAAACGGGCACTTTTTTGGCCCGGGCTGGCCCTGGGCACTTCTTCTAGCTAAGAATGAAGGGGAATGGAAAGGAGTGGAAAGGAGTGGAAAGGAATAGAAATAAAGGGAAAGAGAAGTAAAGAAATGGAAAGAAATAGCAAGAAATTGCAAAGAACATGGAAACACAAAGGAATGGAACCGATAATGTTTTTCCTTTGTTTTAAAAATAAATAAATAAACGGGAATGGAAAGGAAAGAGAAGAGAGGAAAGTCGTTGAAAAGGAAATGGAAACAAATAGAGAAATGGAATAGAAAAGAAACGGAGATGGAAAAGTGCCCAAGGCCAGCCCGGGCCAAATGGCATGAAAGGTAAGGTCTAGCCCATGTCCCAATATTATCCTATCCTAACTCATTCCTATCTCACCGCCGTGATTACTAAGGGAAAGAGGGGTTGCAAGGTAAGGAGATGTCCACTCGTTCATATGATTAATGTTATCTTGCTTTTGTTTAGCTGCAACAGTTATGACTCTGGAATTTCCAAGAAGCATACCAATAAAAGGACAGGAAAGAGACAGAGAATGAACGCTTTTGGATGCATCTCCCATCTTTGAAGCGCTTAAAGTCCTAGCACTAAGATCTTAAGGAATAGAGTTCCTATAAACAAGACACAGCGATGAAACAAGTAAATAATAAATAGGTGATATTCATGACGAGACAAAATACAGCTAGTAAATCAAATAGATAATATGTGTGATATTCTGGAAGATGCCCCCCACACAGCGGCTTAAGACCGGCATCTACAGCATATTAAATCTACTTTTGGATATCTTCGTTCGCATTTATAAGGCTTGTATAGAGGATCTCCTAGTCACCTATCTGTCCTTCCTTCTCCAAATCTTAATTCTTTTTGTTGGCATGAGAAGGATTATGAGAAGGACAGATATAGAGACAGAATATTTATACATTAGGATTTACTTCTTCCTCAGTCGTAAGGTTGTGGCAGCTAGCGAAGCGATGGATAGCTTGTTTTAATATCAGCTCTTGGGATCTGTTACCTATATCCTGGGTAAAAGCGGAGGAAGAAAGGAACTGCTCATTTTGCAATTTCTTTCAAAAGAGTTCTGAAGAGGCGAGTTTCCTTTCCCTCCCTGTCATTCCTTTCCATTTCCATTCCATGTCAATTCCATTTTAACTTCATTTCTTTCCTTTCTATTCTTAGCTAGCCAGCCCGGGCCAAACACGCGCTCGTTTAATTCCATTTCCTTCCTTTCCATTCCTAGCTAGAGTTTCGCAATTTCCCGTGCCAAGAATTTGGACAGGGCGAGTTTCATGTCCATTTCCTCAAAAAATACCTATATCTTTCCGTCCCTTTCCATGTTCCTTTCACTCCTTTGCATGTGTGTTCCATGTCCATTCCATTTCAAATCCATTTCTTTCTTTCTATTTCGTGTATTTCTGTCTAGTTCTTTTTCTATCAATTTCCTTTCCAATTTTGTTTCCACCTTGTTTGTGTTTCCATTTCTTTCTATTCCTTTTCGCTCCTCTCTAATGAAGTGATCAAGGCCAACCAAGCCGGAAAAGTTTTTTTGTAAATCTCCCCGAACAGAGGTTGAAGGGGTGAGTTTGTTTTCCCTACTTTTCAGTCCTTTCCATGTCCATTCCATTTTAATTCTACTTTAAGTCCATTTAATTCCTTTCTTGTCCGATCCGTTTCTTTCCGTTTCTTTGCCATTCCTTCCATGTCCTTTTTATGTCCTTTCTATTCCTAACCTGGTTGATCCTGCCAGTAGCCGTATACTGTTCTCACAATTAATCAGCATACTAGATAGAAACAATAGCTGGACAATCTGTCATTTTCCAATTAATGAGAAAACTAGTTGACAAATCAGTCATGGTTTTCTAGTGGTTGTATCAGTTGGATACAATAGCTAGAAAACCCATCATGCTTTTCTATGTTCATCATGGGACGCTCAGAAGAGGGCGATGAATCAACAACAAAAAAATCAATGAACAACAAGCAAAAGCAATCAACAACTAACAAAAACAATCAACAACTCACAACAACAATCAACGACTAACAAAAACAATCAACAACTAACAAAAACAATCAACAACACAAAAACAATCAACAACTAACAAGACATGGACAGGAAAGGGAACGTTTGTGCTTGGCAAGTCGGGGCTCATTGCCGATACAGTTTTGTATGGAATCCAGTACCGAGCCAGCCCGGCTGGATTCCAGGCACGTTGAAGCCCAAATGAAAAGGAAAAGGAAAGGAACTGGAAAGGAAATAGAAAAGGAAAACAAATGGAAAGGAAATTGGACATTGAAAGGAAATGGAGGAAATAGAAAGGAATTGGAAGGAAATGGATGTTTGAAAAGGAAATGGAAAGACAATGGAAAGGACACGGAAAGGAAAGGGCACGTTTGTGCTTGGCGGTTCTAGGCTCACTGCTGATAAAGTTTGTATGAAATCAATTGCGGAGCCTGCCCCTTTCCATTTCCTTTCCATTCCTTTCTATGTCCAATCCATGTCCATGTCCTTTCCATTTCCTTTCGATTCCCCTTCCATTTCGCTCCCGTTTCCTTTCCATTTCTTTCCGATTCCTTTCATTTCTTTTCCATTTCCTCTAAATGTCCTTTCCACGTCCTTTCCATTTTCTTTCCATTTCCTTTCTTCTTATATTTCCTTTCTGTTTCCTTTCCATATTTCCTTTCCAGTTCCTTTTCATTTGTGCTTCAAAGTGTCCGGGTCCAGCCGGAATTAAACAAATAGCAGGAATATCAATCATGTTTTTCTAATTCCTGAATTTTGTTCAATGAATGAGAAAATGTTTTAAAACAGCGGGAAAACCAGTCATGTTTTTGTTTTTGTTTCTATTTTTCTAATTAATGAGACAAATTGGCTGGAAAATCAGTCATGTTATTATTTTTTGCCTAATTATTTGGTTGGAGACTAGGTTTCCGGAATGTTGGGACCTATTTTTCCTAATTTTTTCTCATCTTCTGAATGTTTCTATTATTTCTATTGAATTAGAAAAATAGCTGTAAAATCAGTCTTTAAAAAAAAACAAAAAACTTTAGAGCCTCCGGCTCAGTCCGCCGACATTGTCCTCTCCCTTTTCTCCGTCTTACTCTCTCCCTTGTCTCCCTCGTGCGTTCTGTCGTCCTCTGCTCCCCATCCTCCCCATCCCCCCAAGCCTCTCTCTCCTCAATCTCCCTCTCTCTGTGTCTCTCTCTCTCTCTCTCTTGCTGTCTCTGTTTCTCTGTCTCTTTCTGTCTCCCTGTCTCCTTCCTGTCCACGCCCCTCTACAGAAAAAGGGCACCCTAATTCGAACCTCTCTACTCTCTCACCTTCTCGCTCTTTCTCTCTCTCTCTCTCTCTCTCTCTCTCTCTCTCTCTCTCTCTCTCTCTCTCTCTCTGTCTTTCTGTGTCTCTCTTTCTCAGTCATGATGATTTTAACAAAAATGATGTCCATGCTGATGAAAATGATGATGAACATGATGATGACAATGATGATTAAACGTATGATTAAAATGGTGATGAACATGACGAACATGATGAGGAACAAATGATAAACGATAATGATACAAATGATGATGACAATGATAACGAACATGATGATGAAAATGATGATAAACATAATGATGCACATGATAACAAAAATGACGATGGACATGATGATGATCAACATGATTGTACAAATGATGAATCGTGATAAGAATGATGATGCACATGATGATGCACATGATGATGAAGAGGATGATGAAAATGATGATGAAATTGATGATGAAAATGATGACGAACATGATGATGAACATGATGATAGCAATAAAAAACATGCTGATGTACATGATGATGATCATGGTGATGATCATGGTGATGAACATGATGATGAACATGATGATAAAAATGATGAATTATGATACACATGATGTTAAACACGATGAACGATGATGGAAACGATAATGACAATGATGATGAGCATGATGATGACCATGATGATTAAAAAGATTAATGATGATGAACATGATGACGAACACGATGATGAAAACGATAATGGCCATGATGATGAAAATAATGATAACAAGCATGATGAATGATGATGAAAATGATCATACAAATTATGAATGATGATGAACATTATGAGAAGATGATGATGAAAAATATGATGAATATGATGATGAAAAAGATGATGACGATGATGATGAACATATTTTTTGCAATTAATTAGACCAATTAGCTGAACAATCATTCATTTGAACTATCAGTCAATGTTTTCTATTTTTTTTCGAAAAAACAGCTGAAAAGTCAGTCAATTTTTTCTAGTTTTCCTAATTTTTCTAATTAATTAGAAAAAAAATAAAAAATGAAAAAATTGACTGACTTTTCAGCTATTTTTTCTAATCAATTAGAAAAAATAGAAAAATTAGAAAAATTGGGAAAATTAGAAAAAATAGGTCCCAACATCCCGGAGACCGGGGGACAATTAGGACAAAATAGGAAAATTAGAAAACAATGACTGATGTTTCAGCTAATTTTTCGAATTAATTAGAAAAATTAGAAAAAATGATTGATTTTTCGGCTAATTGTTCTAATTAATTAGAAAAATTAGAAAAAATCGAAAAAATGACTCACTTTTCAGCTATTTTTTCTAATTAATTAAAAAAAATAGCTGACAAATCAGCCATTTTTTTCTAATTAATTAGAACAATTAGCTGAAAAGTCAGTCATTTTTTCATTTTTTTCTAATTTAATTAGAAAAATAGCTGAACAATCAGTCAATGTTTTCTATTTTTTCCAATTTTTCTAATTGTCCCCCGGTCTCCGGGATGTTGGGACCTATTTTTTTTCTATTTTTTCTTATTTTTCTAATTTTCGTATTTTTTCTAATTAATTAGAACAATTAGGAAAATTGGAAAAAATGACTGATTTGTCAGCTAATTTTTCTAATTAATTAGAAAAAATAGGAAAAATAGAAAACAATGACTGATTTTTCAGCTAGTTGTTCTAATTAATTAGAACAATTAGAAAAATGAGAACAACATGACTGACTTTTCAGCTAATTTTTCTAATTATTTAGAAAAAATAGGGAAAATAGGAAAATCGAAAAAATAGGAAACAAAATAGGTCCCAACATCCCGGAGACCAGGGGACAATTAGAAAAAATGAAAAATTAGAAAAAATGACTGATTTTTCAGCGAATTTTTCTAATTAATTAGAAAAACTAGGAACATTGGAAAAACATGATTGATTTTTCTATTTAATTAGAAAAAATAGAATAAATAGAAACAACTTGACTGATTTTTCAGCTAATTTTTCTAATTAATTAGAAAAAATAGGAAAACTAGACAAAACTGACTGATTTTCAGCTACTTTTTCTAATTAATTAGAAAAAATTGAAAAATTAGGAAAGCCATGACTGATTTTTCAGCTAATTTTTCTGATTAATTAGAAAAAATATGAAAATTAGAAAAACAAATGACTGACTTTTCAGCTTATTTTTCTAATTAATTCGAAAAAAATATGATTGATTTTTCAGCTAATTTTTCTACTTAATTAGAAAAAAAAGAAAAATAGAAAAAATGACTGATTTTTCAGCTAATTTTTCTAATTGTGTAGAAAAAATAGAAAAATAGAAAAATGACTGATTTGTCAGCTAATTTTTCTAATTAATTAGAACAATTAGAAAACTTTGAACAAATGACTGATTTTTCAGCTAATTTTTCTCATTAATTAGAAACATATGAAAATTAGAAAAACATGACTGACTTTTCAGCTAATTTTTCTAATTAATTAGAAAAATAGAACAAATAGGAAAAATCGAAAAAAAAAGGTCCCAACATCCCGGAGACCGGGGGACAAGTAGAAAAATTAGAAAGATTAGAAAAAGCAATGACTGATTTTTCAGCTAATTTTTCTAATTAATTAGAAAAAATATGAAAAATGATTGACTTTTCAGCTAATTTTTCTAATTAAATAGAAACAAATGGAAAATTAGAAAAAGTTGACCGACTTTTCAGCTAATTTTTCTAATTAATTAGAAAAGTTAGAAAACATAGAAAAACATAGAAAAATAGGTCCCAACATCCCGGAGACCGGGGGACAAGTAGAAAAATTAGAAAAATTAGAAAACATTGACTGATTTTTCAGCTAATATTTCTATTTAATTAGAACAATTAGAAAAAATAGAAAACATGATTGACTTTTCAGCCATTTTTTCTACTTAATTAGAAAAAATAGAATAAATATTAAAAAATAGGTCCCAACATCCCGGAGACCGGGGGACAATTAGAAAAAATAGAAAAATTGAAAAGAAATGACTGATTTTTCAGCTATTTTTCTAATTAATTAGAAAATTAGAAACCATGATTGATTTTCAGCTAATTATCATCATCATGTTCATCAACATATTCGTTTTACCATCATATTTATCATAATTTTCATCATCATTTCTGCGCGCAACACGTTGTGACACATTTGGTATAATCTTCCTTCATACGGGGGGGGGGGGGACACTGCAAGAGACTGAAAGAGACTGCCACGTGGTGAGATGGTGCATGGGCGTCGAGGAGCTAAAAGCCTTGCGCATTTTGGCCGAGCAAGAGATGTTCCAGGCAGAGGGGTGTGGTGTAAGGGAGAAGCTGACGAGCCCATGAGCGGGAGGAGCAAATTCCCAGTGCGTTGAAATTGTTGCGAGCTGGGAGCTTTGAATCAGACACTCAATGGGTTCTTGTTCCCTTCTCTCTTCCTTTGCTTCCCTTGCTTTCCCTTGCTTTCCCTTGCTTTCCCTTGCTTTCCTGGCTTCGCCAGCCTGCCAGGATCTCAGCGACCCGGAGGGCGGCAGCACCAACTCCCCTCACGTCTGTGGGGGCGAGGAGTTGTCCATCCTGAACACCTCTGATCCGGACATTGACTCAGAGGTGGCCTGTTTCAACTGTCTGCGGATCAAGCCAACTTTTGGTTGCCACAGGTTTTGGTGAGGTTCAGGTGAACCCCCAATTCATTTGATTTCCCTGCCCACTGGCATCGCCAAGCAGCCAATATGTTCAGCGCCACTTCTCGGCCGACCAATCGATCACGAGCTGTCCATGTCAGGACACCGAAAGCGAGTGGGAGCTGCTGCAGTCGCTCCTGGCCCGCTCGGCCCGCGCCCTCGACCCGGATGCGGCGCTGAACTCGGCCGAGGCGTCCGCGTCCGTGGCCTTTGTGGCGAAGTGGGCGCCCTGGCGGCCGAACTCGGCGCTGAACCGCTCGGGGCCGCTGCATCTGGACGCCCGGCTGCAGCCCAAGCGCCGCAAAACGGCGCTGATGTTCCTGAGCGGCGCCGGCCGGGATGAGGACGGCGCCACGGTGTTCCCCTGTGCCCCGCCGCAGCGAGGGGGGAGGGTTTCTTTCACTCAGGCACCGAAGTTCTTGACAATTGCACAGAGCACAATGCACCATAGCTTGCCCCAGCAGCATCAGTGGGGGGAATTGCAGTTTCGCTTTCTTCAACTTGAAGGGACCACCAACACGAAAATTGGAGTGTCCTTGCACCCGGTCTGAAGCCTAAATTCTGGCACAGGCTCGAGGAACGTCCTCGCCGTGCTTTTGACTAGGCTCTTCGAGCAACCTGATCCAGTGAGCCTCGTGCCAAGGTATCGAGACGGATGACCTGGATCCCAAAGAGGCCCAGCGCAGGCGGAAGCTTTGTTCTCGGGCGGCACGGCACATGCAGGCGGGGCTGCTTGGATTACCATCCCACGGTGGTAAGTCCAAAGTAGGTTTTGCCCTACATACAACATCATATAACCCACTTGAGGGACTTACTAGCTGGGATTACTAGTCACTCTGGGCTCTTTGTGCGTGTGCGTGTCTGGGTCTCTTAGCTTACCTTCTTGTTGTTCCCATTTTGCATTTTATGCGACATTCCACAAAATTTCAATCATTCCAATCGGGTGCCCAAAACATGGCTCAGGCGGCCCATGAGAAGCTGCTGGCGGTGAGGCAGCGAGGCCTGGATCTGGATCCTTCCAAGCAGCGCCTTTGGCACGGGAGGTCGGATGGCATCCGTTTCAGGTCCGTTTCAGGTCCTTTTTTCAGATTCTGGGATAGTTCTAAGCAGCTAACTAGTTTTGGATCACGGAGACGTTTTGCTTTTGGGGTCGAGGTTTGCGCTGATCTCAGGCAGAGGCACCTGCAACAAAGCACGCGCCTTTGTGGATTCCTGGCTTTCGTGTGCCAAGCTATTCGCTTTCCTTTGAGGTATGAGTTCTTGGAGCAGCATCCTGAGCTGGCAGCACGGATGCGTTTAATGCAAGTGGATGTGCGCGCTGAATCAAGAGGGGATGGATAATCATCCACTTTTCCAGACCCCCGTATTTGGCACCGCTACGTGCCCCACTTTGGGCCAAGACTCGGTGACGGCTTGGCTTATCCCTTCCCCTTTCGACGGCCCGAGGCGGGCCTGGCGCCGGAGGTGGAGGGCGTGCGCCCGGTGAATTGGCTGTGGCTCCCGGGGTATGACGCCGTCGCCGAGGCGGCCCCGTTGCCGCTGGCGGCGGACCCGCTGCATCTGCTGGCGGAGAAGATGCGCCTCACCTTGGACACGTTTTCTTTTCATTCGGAAAGTGTCAATGTCAAGGTTGTTCGTTTGATGTCAGATTCCTAGTTGTCTTTGAGGTGCCGGATTGCTTGGTGGACCCAGAAGAGGCTTTTCTGGTTCTGACCCATAGCCAGGTTTCTTTCGGTGTTTGAGTTGATTTGCCTCGCTTGGCTTTGTGTTTCGATCGAAGCTTCTGGGGGTTGCACCGTTGCGCCGTTGCTTTGCGAGGTGTCGGAACTTGGCCCCGGGGCTCCGGGTGAGGTCCAAGGCAGGCGATGCGCTGTGCCCTGGAGCAGGGAGGGCATGCCGTAAGAGGCAAGGAACGCTTGAAGTTTAAAGCAGGTTGCAGGATCTGAGAAGCACTTTAAAGAGAAGCCAGATTCCAGGGGCTTGTGGATAAGTGGTATGGGTCCAGGAAGATTTGTTGGTGGTTCCCATTTTTCTCGGTTTTCTTGTTGCCTTGAGGTCCTGATCGGTTTCGCGAACGGATCTGAGGTTCATGGACATCCTGGAGCCCGATTCCTTCAAGGCGGACTGGCGCCTGTGGCACGCGGGCTGCAGCCCCTTGAAGGGTCCCAGGCTCACAGCCCAGGTCTTCCTAAGCCGAAGCGCCTGCGACAGCCACGGGGGATGTGGCACCAGGAACAACATTTGGCAGGCTCTTTTCCTCTCATGCGTGTCTCTTCAAATATTTTTTCGAATGTATTTGCGGTTGTTTGATTGTGCGTCCTGAATCTCTTGAGCGGCGTTTTGGGCATAGCAGGCCATAATTTGTGAATTGGAATCGACTGCTAACGACTGTTCCATGTTCGAGCGTTTAGCTCAAAAGACTCAACCAGTTGCTTGATTTTGAGTCAAGGCACCAGGAGCGCGAAGAGTTGAGGCGGTCGAGCGCTTTGATAAGTGAGATGCATTGGGGCGATGGCATCTCACAGATGCATGCGAGACGCGGCGAGTTGCAACAGTTGCGATGGTGGAAAAGGAGCGCAGTGGAGAGGGTCCTGGACCCCTCTCTCACCAAGAAACTCGCCCAAAGCTTACTCGATCGGACTGCAGGCATGGGCCTCTTCCAGATTCCAGTGGACGAAGCCAAGGACGAGCAGACCTGTAAAGAAGCCTGCCATGCCGGCGCGGTTTGGCGATGATTTGAGCTTCGGAAATGGCATTTTGATTTGGAATGACTTAAAACGAGTTGGAATAGCTTCCACTAGATCACCCAAACTGTTTTCTGGATTCGCATCCCGGCGCCAGGTTGGGGAGACCCCCGATGTGCCGTGTGGCAGTGGGCGGGTGTCGCGGGCAGCGAGACGAAATCGTGCGGGCGCCTGGTGCGACGCGATTGCCGTTGTGGTGGATACTTTGATCCAACCAACACATGCTGGAGCTGTCTCTAGCAACAGTGGATGCTGAGTACCAGGGACTGCGATCAAACCTAATGGAGTGACATTGGATACAGTCACAACAGAACTTGTCGCACGAGTCAGCTCAAGCTGGAGGTCACTTTTCAAGCAGCGGCTGGCATTTTGCTTTGCAAACTTTGCATCCGGTCTCAAGATTCTCCCTTTCCACCCCACCGTGTTTGGTCTTCATAAGTAGTAAGTTCTGAAGATTGTCACTTCAATTCCTCGTTCAAAAAGTGATCAGCCAGATTTGGCTCTGGGCGCAGCCTGGATTTGAGCCGAGTGAAGGAGTGTTGGGAGCACATACTCAAACCGACGAATCCACAGAGACAAACCCATTTTGCCGTTGGGCATGCTTTTTTTGGTGGCTGGGGTCCACGGGTAGAGAAGACATAGTTCCACTGGGCTTGGCAGAAGCTAAGAGGTTACCGGCAAGATAAATTCGAAGAGCTTCCAGGTGCGATGCAGGCCGATTCCTCAAAGGTATGAACGACACGTCCGTTCTTCTCTTGCTTGAAGTCTGACATAAAGAACAGGACTCGACATGTGCACCAACCAAGCACAGAAACATGAAATTCAGGTTTCCACATCTTGCTATGCGGACCACACACACACACACACAAACGAGCCAAGAGAATTTGCTTGCGCGCATGAATTCTCAAAGAACAGATGGGTCGAAATAGCAACCCCTGTGCCTTCATGTTTTGCAGGACTAAGCCATGGTGAAATGGCAATTCTTGCTAAACCGAGGTTCTGGAGGAAACTTAGAGGCCCCGAACCGATCGAACCGATACTCAGTCGATACTTAACCAATGCCCTCGCACGGTTTCGTATCTTCACAGAAACTGCGAGTGTTCTACCTGATGACCGAACCTGCCTTTGAAACACACGAAGCAGAACAAGTCCGTGCGCTGCCTGCTGCCTGCTTTTCCCATGCGTGTTACATGGCGACGTCAACGACATATAGAGCACTTGACAGCTCGCAGCTCCCAAAACATTGTAAACCGATGCTGAGGAAAGAAAACCATACTAATCAACACTAATGGTTTCACGCGGGGTTTTTATTTGTCCTCAGATGCTATTATTGAAATTGCTACGCATTACTCTTGTGCAGCTAGCTGCAGAAGGCAATTGTGCAGCACGTCTCCTTCTCCAGTTATTCCGAATTCCAGCTCATTGGGATGGAGACTGGCTTGCATGGCTTCAATACCCCTTTTCTTTGCTTCTCATTTTCCGCCATGCTGGCGGCCGCCCGTCCGCGCTGGCCAGCGCTTGGAGCCGCCGCACCGGTCCGCGCGCCGAGCCACACGCCAGGGGCCCGACGCAGGTGGGGTGCGCGGCTGTGCGCGGCGGTGCCGCTGTCGCTGGCCAAAGCGCCAAAGGTGCGCCGGCGCGTGGAGGCGCGCGGCGGATGGAGAGATTGCCAAGAGTCACTTTGGTGTTCATACACATAGGGGCAATTGTGGCGCAAGTGGTTGGCATTGCTGGTTGGCATTGCTGCTTGAACCATGCTCTGTCAGACATAACCTCACATTTCTGTGGGGGGCACACGCGTCAGATCCACGACCCGGAGCAGCGGCAGTTGGAGCTGATGCGGCTTCCGGACCGGACTGGGGTTGCGGCAGTTGGAGCCGTATTTTTCCTTGGGAATCAGGGTAGGCAAAGCCGGCCCACGAAAAAGCATAATACAAGTTGTATCTTCACATCTTGCAGAAATGTGGACAGACTGTCAAGCATACATTCTACAAAAGGGTTCTCACTCCATACGTGTGTTCCAGTCCTGCGAGGGTCTTGCGTACCACAAAGGGGACGGCTTCAGGCACAGGCCGATTTGTCTTCAAATGGGGGAATCCCTCCAAAAGTGCTATTATCAGAACTGACCCACCCGCACCATTGGGTTGCCCCCCCCCCCCCCCCCTCGTTGCATCACACACGCGCATGGCTGTACTTGTCCTTGTGCCATGCTCAAATTGTCTTGACAGGCGTCTTCTGGTTTTGTGTCGTGTCAACCCACAACTTGCATCACATCCAGATATGGGCAGACGCAACAAGCGATCAAGATGTGTGCTTCGCTGCAGGACACTTCCTTCCGCTTGGATGGCATTGGCGACTCGTGGGAGGAGCGTGCTTGTGGTGAGAAATGGGGCGTGCCCAAATTGGGGACCTCGCTTTTGGCTGGTGTTCTGAGCAAAGAAACCAGTCCCCCTGTTGAGGCCAGGCATGGGCATCAAACGCCAGACGCACGAGCACATAGCACAGCTACGGCTGCGTCTTAAGCTTGACCGGCCCTTGCCTTTTCAATCAGTTTGCTCCCTTTTCTAAGCAGTGTTTTATAATAAACTCTTCGCGTTGCCGCCTCGGCCAGAATGCTTTTGACTGGCTTTGGCGTGCTGTGTTTTGGCTTGCCTTGAAGTGTTGTGTTTGCCCGAGTGAGTGAGTCGGCACCCAGAGGGTGCATGTTTGCGTGTTTCCACATGGCTTCAAGGGCTAGATAGAACGGTTTTTTTGAAGGGATTTGACGGGTAGGTCGACCGTCTGGGGGAATGCGACCGGTTGGGGGTATGACTGGAGTTGGGCCGGTTTTTAGAGGGGATTTGACTGGACCCATGTTAAGGGAATTTGACGGGTTTCCAAGGGGGACTTAACCGGTTGCTAGAACTTTTTTGGAAGGGATTTGACTGGTCTCTGGAGGGACCAGTAACTTGCTTTCCTGGATGTGCAATTTCATTGGATGGGTGGCCTTGAAAAGCACCATTTGATCGTGGGGAAGCCCTTAATACGCGGAGTGATTTTTCTCCTATCCTTTCTTCCGACCGGTGGGAAGTTTATTGCCTCGTTTTGCCCAATGCCGAACTATTCAAAGGGTCTCCCGTAAAGACGTCACCACTCACAAGGCCATCCCTGGCAGGACTACTACGCCCTCAGGGGCTTTGTGCCCCAAAACCGTGCTGCCTGCACTGGTGCGCTGTCCGTGCCGAAGCCTCGGCAAGCGGGTGGCAAATGCCAATCTCATGCGTGGGTGTTTGTGCGTGTCACACGCGCTAGGCCCCTCACCATCCTCAGTGCCATTCGCAGCTTCAACTTGACCCTGGAGGAAAAGGTGACCAAAATCGACCTGGTGGGCAGCCGGCCGCGCTCTCTGCTGTTCTGTTCGAGGAAGACAGCCTCCCAATGTCAAAAGTCAGAAAGGATCAGCTAAACTAATTGATAAGCTTGACCGGGTGTCGATGCACTGCAGGCCACTCAACCAACAATGCTTTGTCCTCGAGGAAAATCGACTTGCGTTGGTTTTTGCTTCACGGTGCACTTGGGTATGGTAATGCATCAGCTGCAGAGGCGACTTGTGGAATGTTTAATCGCGTTCAGATTGTGCAGCATGGTGGAGGCTGCACATGTGTATTCTGGCAATGTCGGGAATGCAGTTTTGTCCCGCAATGGTCCAGTGGTCCAATGGTTATGGAAACTTCAGACGTTTGAGGGTCCTGGAGCTTGCCAACCTGGAGCTGGTGTATGAGGCCGATGTGATGCCCTGGATCATAGGGGGGGGGTTGTTGAGAGCTTGTTTGGCGTGGTTGGAGGGGGGGTTGCGCTTTGGGGGTTCGCACACCCTCTGTGAATGTTACAGGTGGAGATCAAATCTAGAGCAACTGCAGGAGAATTATTTGGAACGGTCGGGAAAGATGGGAAGCTCACACAAGGAAAAGATGAGGACATCTGCAGAGCTTATTCCAGCAGAAATGGCAATTGCGATCAGTATTATATCTATATATATATATATATACATGTATAGATATTGTATATTATATGCGGAAAGCGTGGGGTGGCCTGTGGCTAGCCATGCTTTGTCTTCGCGTTCAGCTCCCTTTGAGGAGCTGGGCCGGGCGTTTCCCGGAAACTTCGTGCATCTGCGGCTGGTGGGCCCAGAGCTGAACGACCAGCTCCCAGGCGGATGTAATGTCTTGAGCATTGAACGATGAGAGATGAGTCCACGAGCATGAAACAGGATGGGTTCATGTGAGTCTTTGCGCAAGTTTGGATCTAATGGCATATGGTGCATACACAAAGAGGGCTGAGCACATTGGGCGGGTATGGTCATGGCTGAAGCGAATGGAACATGCATGCACGCTTTTGAGTAGTCATAGTACTACAAACGGACGGTAGTGTCCTAAGGCTTGAAATGTGGTCCTTGTGGCCCCGTCCAACTTGCTAGCTTGGATTGGACAGCTAGCAATTCTCCGGGCGTTTCTCTTCGTGGGATATCTATGGCTGTTTGTGGGGCTCCCAGTGAGCGCTTGAATCCCCATGTGGCAATGTCCATCCCATTGATATGAAAGAAAGATCATCTCGCAAAACATGCGCACGTCTCACGGTATGTAAATCACCTTGCCACAGGTGCCGTTGACGTGGAGAATGTCCGCCTTTCCTTTCATAGGACCGGGAATACGCTACGTTTTGGCGCATGTGCCCTTGTTTATCATTGAT